TCCCCCGCCTTTTCTTCCCCGCCGCCCCCTCTTCCAACCAACACCACCACCTGCACCACCACCACCACCACCACAACCTGATCTGATCTGACCACCCATTACCTTACCTTAGCTACTGGCTCATCCCATTCGGGTCACCATTCAAATTAAAATCCCTCTCCCCCCCCCACCCGCCACTAAAATGATGAGCTCGATATTACCATATGCCCTTAGCCGAGCCTGACTGCCCACATCGACTGCTAGCAGATGAAAGAAGAAATTCCAATGACTAGGGTTGCCAGCAACAGTAAGAGAAACACGAGAGCCTAGCCTATCGAGCTACCGACCCTGATGAACTCGATTTAGTGATAAGTTAGTGTTGCTGATGCTGGTGCTGGTGCTGGTGCTGGTGCTGGTGCTGATGCTTCTCGCATACCGCGTGAACGGTTCTTTCTCAGTGAGTAGGAATATGCTGAGGGAACCAGAAGATGAACCTCGGATGGTCTTCTAGACATCCCAGTAATCTAACTACTTGTTCCTACAGTACTGTTTGTCAGGCTGTAGTCTGTTCTGTGGCGAAATTGCCTAGGCCAACCTGTTATTACCTTTAGTAGGGTCTCGGTCTCGCCCATTTGTTCCTACTCCAGCTTAGTCCCGCCCGCGTTCCCCGTCCCCGCATTTCCACCTGGCTCTTTCCCTGAAGTCCCTTTCCAGGTTTCCACTTTCCCTTTCCTTCTCCGTCCCGATCTTTCAATTTCCACGTTCTCAATTTCCCTTGCCCACCCTTCACCTTTCTCGGTCAACCGGTACCTGGCCTGTTGGTTCAGTTGGAGGTTCGAGTTCCTTCCCTCTCTTGCTCTCATCCCTTTCCCACACTCTCTTACCCCCACTGACAGGCTCAGTTACTCATCCACCCACCACTCAACTTACCACCTCATCTTTTTTTTTTTTGCTTCATTCTACCATCCTAAGTTTCTGAACTGAACAGCGTTGCGATATCTCAAATTAAATCCGTGCTTACTAGCCCATCACCTTCTCCACCCCCCCCCCCCCCCCCCCCCCCCCCTCCAACTGTTGGGGCCTCACGGCCCTCCACCCCAAACGCCGTCTGTCGCCCGCAGCCCGCTCCGTTCTCATGCCTCGGGCGCTTGTTCGCTTTGCTCGGTGAGGATGTCGACCACCGCCATTCAGCAGTACGCCAGCTCATTTGTTCCTTCTTCCTCAGCTTCACAGTCGGGAGGCATGGCCCAATCGCAGACCGTCGGGCTGGACACCCTCGCCGAGGGTTCGCAGTATGTCCTCGATCAATTGCAGTTGTCGCGCGAGGCCGCGGCCAAAACCGTCGGCGATGATACGCCCTCGGACTCGCTGAGAAACTCGCTGCCCAAATCCAAAGACCAACCTTTCTACCGCGACGACAATAACTCTGTCGCTGGCTCCAGGTACCAACCGCCGTTACAGCGAGATCCCCTCGTGGAGGCTCGTTCGGCGATCCGCAAAAATTCCGTGTCGGCTCCCGTCCGGCGCCGAATCAGTCGAGCGTGCGATCAGTGTAATTCGCTCCGGACCAAATGCGACGGACAACACCCATGTGCACATTGCATCGGTAAGCTCATCTGTCTTCGTAGATTGATTCCTTCCCGCTCCAAGCCCCCCGGTGAGTCAGCAGGCTGACTGACGGCGGCGCAGAATTCGGGTTGACCTGTGAGTACGCTCGGGAACGTAAGAAGCGAGGGAAGGCTTCGAAGAAAGACCTGGCAGCTGCGGCTGCAGCTACCCAGCTGGGCAACGGTCAATCAGCCCAAGAAAATGGCGCACTAGTGGGGGAGCATACGCCCCCGGATCGGCGACGATCGTCTCAGGAGGTCAACGGGCGATTTGACGGGGGTTTTGACACAGCTCAACATCTCAATCCTCCGTCACGACAGGTGCGGGATCCTAATGCTCCTCCGAGTATGTCTACGGTTGAGGATGCGCACTCAGCTCCGCCGCATTCGCAGCCATCCTTGAGGGCCGCCATCGATGTCATGCACATGAACCATTTCAATTCGTTGAACAACGAGTCACATCGTGCTCCAATGCCTGTCGCCGATCTTCGCGCCTTACCGACCTCAATCCTATCGTCGCATGGGTTAAGTTCGGGGTTTGGTGAAAACGCGTTTGCGATGGTGAACTCTCAGGAACCTAATGCTTCCGCATTGAACCATTTTCGAATTGGAAATTCAACCGAGAACCCCACGGCTCCATTCTTAGGACTATCGCCTTCTGCACAGTCTCCAGGCTGGCTGCCTCTGCCCTCACCATCTCCCGCCAACTTCCCTTCCTTTAGTCTGCCGTCATATTCGAGCACGTTACGATACCCCGTGTTGCAGCCCGTGCTACCTCATATCGCGTCCATCATTCCACAATCCCTCGCCTGTGATCTCCTTGATGTCTACTTTACCAGCTCATCCTCTTCACACCTTTCGCCATTATCTCCTTATGTGGTGGGATACATCTTCCGGAAGCAGTCCTTCCTCCATCCTACCAAGCCACGAGTGTGTAGTCCTGGTTTGCTGGCCAGTATGCTCTGGGTCGCCGCGCAGACGAGTGAGGCTGCGTTCCTGACATCTCCGCCCTCTGCTCGAGGGCGTGTCTGCCAGAAATTACTAGAACTGACCACTGGCTTACTCCGGCCACTGATTCATGGACCGGCAACGGGGGAAACATCGCCCAACTACGCAGCTAATATGGTCATCAACGGTGTCGCCCTCGGTGGATTCGGCGTCTCGATGGATCAGCTAGGTGCGCAGAGTAGCGCAACCGGTGCCGTGGATGATGTGGCTACATATGTGCATCTAGCCACGGTCGTTTCAGCAAGTGAGTACAAGGCCGCCAGTATGCGTTGGTGGACGGCAGCATGGTCTTTGGCGCGCGAGTTGAAGCTGGGTCGTGAGCTGCCGCCCAACACTTCCCATACACGACCAGACGGCGAGCGCGAGGGCGACACCGAAGGGGATCCTTCGAAACGACACTCTACGTCGTTGATGGCCTCCATGGGACTTGGACCCGGCAGTACAAATATTAATGTCACAGAAGAGGAACGGGAGGAGCGCCGGCGCCTGTGGTGGCTACTGTACGCGACGGACCGTCATCTGGCTCTCTGCTACAACCGGCCATTAACGCTGCTCGATAAAGAGTGCGGACGTCTATTGCAACCCATGAATGACGACCTTTGGCAAGCGGGCGATTTCTCTACCGCCAGCTATCGCCAGGTTGGCCCTCCCCTCGAGTGCACCGGTCACAGCATGTTCGGGTATTTCTTGCCGCTGATGACTATCCTTGGTGAAATCGTTGACCTCCATCATGCCCGAAGCCATCCACGTTTCGGTATTGCGTTTCGAAATAGCACTGAGTGGGAGCACCAGGTGCTGGAGATTACCCACCAATTAGACACCTACGCGCAAAGTTTGAAAGAGTTTGAGGCGCGCTACACCAATAGCTTGGCCCTAGCAAATGCGGAGAATGAGCAGATCGGCGAGGGCGCCCATTTGGATCATGTCAGTCCGTCGGGTCGTTCCAGCAGTACGGTCGGATCCCGGGTGAACGAGTCCATTGTGCACACGAAGATGGTTGTCGCGTATGGTACCCACATCATGCATGTTTTGCACATTCTTTTGGCGGGCAAGTGGGATCCGGTCAACCTGTTGGAGGATCACGATCTGTGGATCTCCACCGAAGCTTTCGTCTCTGCGATGAGCCATGCCGTTGGCGCCGCCGAAGCGGCAGCCGAAATTCTGGAGTTCGATCCGGATCTCAGCTTTATGCCCTTCTTTTTCGGAATCTATTTGCTGCAGGGTAGCTTTCTGCTACTCCTGGCCGCCGACAAGCTGCAAGGTGACGCCAGTCCGAGTGTTGTCCGGGCTTGCGAGACGATTGTTCGCGCCCACGAGGCTTGCGTTGTCACCTTGAATACTGAGTATCAGGTATGAATTGCTACGACCCTAGCATCCATGTCTTCTTAAACTAATACCTTTGCTTTCAGCGAACATTCCGCAAGGTCATGCGCTCGGCTCTGGCGCAGGTGCGAGGTCGTATCCCCGAAGACTTTGGTGAACAGCAACAGCGTCGCCGGGAGGTGTTGGCGCTGTACCGGTGGAGCGGTGATGGCAGTGGTCTTGCCCTTTGATGATGGGCTGGTGTCGCATTGATTCTTATTGCATATTGCCGTATATTCTCACTATACCCATGCAAGCGATTGACATGATGTGATGTGAATTCATCTGCGATTTGTGGGATGATTTCGAGGAGTTTGGGAAGGGGAGCAAATTATCCTTGGGTGCGGTTTGATATCCCTGAGTTCTTGTTTCGGTGGTAAATATTTCTTTTCCGTGGTGTGGTGTCCGTGGCTGGCTTTGTGTACAGTACATGATGTCAGAGCCTTGCGGTGGATATAGCCATTGTTTTGTCAAATATAATCCGTAAATAACTATTGATGCTGATCTGCTGTTGTTGACATAGTAGGTTGAACCGAGGTAGGTAGTAGTGAAGGGGTCCACCCTTGTAAAGTAATCATCATCTATTGGTATACGAATGTAGTACGAGTGTGGAAATTAATGGTCAGGACTTAGACAACGTCTCAAGAATGATTATACGTTGATACGAGTCGGTATTCAGCTTCGGAGTCGAATTCGGAGTTTATTGATTTTTGTTATCAGAAGTGGGGTCTGTCTCACTACTCAGTAACCCTGCCTGTCAACTAAGGCCTTCCCAGTTCCCGGGCCTGGGGCCCGCCAAGTCAACCGCCTTCCTGTTTAGGCACGCTAAGCCTGTTTAGACCTGGGAGTCACCCCACAACTGAGAGTTCCCAGTAAGTTCTGCTTGACATTGCACCTTTCTCTACTGTGAATTGTGGACGTCACTTGACTGAAAGCCGCGGAGGTTAAATACGGATTCAAAAGACCTCCGCCTCAGCCTCACCGAGCTCCCCTTCTTCCCTTCAAACTCCCACAGGCCCACGAAAACCCCATGATTCTTCGACAATGAAACCCGTCATCGCTGTTCCTGCTATTGCAGGTCTTCTCTATCGTGCCTGGTCACACAAGACCCTCACCACCCTGGGTTTGGTCGCCGCCGGGCTGACCGCTTCAGCTCACGCCCTCCACCCATGGTCGACCCCGTTTATCCTGCTGGCCGTATTCTACCTCGGAGGTAGCCGAGTGACCAAGGTGAAGTTTTTCTTGGATACTACCCATTGAGGCCCTGCTAATGGATCTGATGGGTATAGGTCAAGCACGAGATCAAATCCCGCTTGACCCTCTCCGCGACCGGCTCCGAGGGCGGCGAAGGCCCTCGCACCCACGTCCAAGTCCTCGCCAACTCCATCGTCGCCTCGGTGCTCATCCTCGCCCACACCTACGTCCTCGCGAAGCGGTCCGCCGCCGGATCCAACGCCGCTCAATGTTTCTCGAACGGTCACGATGTAGCGGACGTGTTGATGGTTGGGATTGTCGCGTAAGGATTCCCCCCCCCCCTCCCCCCGGAAAGCTTTTGTTAATGACTGTGTACTGTACACACAGGAACTACGCCGCCGTCACCGCCGACACCTTCTCCTCCGAACTGGGGATCCTCTCCACCTCGAAACCGCGCCTGATCACCTCGCCCACCTTCCGCGTCGTCCCCCCCGGCACGAACGGCGGCGTCACCGGCACCGGCCTCCTGGCCGGCATGTTCGGCGCCTTCACCATCGCGCTGTCGTCGGCCGCGTTCTTGCCGTTCTGCGGTGCCCCCCCGGGCGGCAGTACTTTGGGTTTGTTGACGAGTCGCGCGGGGTGGGTTGCGGCTGTCACCGCCTGGGGCACTCTAGGCAGCGTGCTGGATAGTATTTTGGGGGGTCTGTTCCAGGCGAGTGTGGTGGATAAGCGGACGGGGAAGATCGTGGAGGGGTCTGGCGGGAAGAAGGTCCTCGTTCATCCTTCCTCAACCAAGGCGGGTGTCTCGGCCAACGCTGCGGGGCTTACGCCGGCGCGTGGGGTTAGCAGTAGCAGTAGTGCGGCGCAGCAGCTGCGGGCGACTGAGGATATTGCTAATGCGGCGACGGCGACGGCGACGTTTAGGGGGAAGCGTGGGGAGGTCGGTTCTTCTTCTTCTTCGGCGGGAGAGACGACAACGGATGACAGGCATGAGAGTCGGCGGGTGGAGAGCGGACATGATATTTTGGATAACAATGCGGTGAATGTGTTGATGGCGGTGGTTATGAGTGTTGGGGCGATGGGGGTGGCGGGGTGGGTTTGGGGGCTGGATGGTGCGGATTTGGTGTGGTAGTTTTCTCTTTGGAGAGGGAAAGGGGGTGGGTTAATATGATATGGTAATTTATGGATGCTTATTATGTTCTATCTTTGGTGAAATGAGTCTTTGCTGATTTGGTTGCAGTATATATTTCTCTCGGTTGGCTTGTTGGATCGACGATGATATCAGGCAAGGTCTCAAGTCATTGGGTTAATCCCCAACTTGGATCACACTTTCTAAAATAACTTCTTTTCGAGCACTAACGGAAGAAAGAAAGAGTCTATTTCTACATCAGGGTACAAGTATTGATCTTCTTCTCTGCCGCCCACGCAGCCCATGCTGCCCGATTCTTCCGCTTGATCGCCTCGCGGTATTTCTGGCCCTCCCGGTCCAGGTAGCTCATGGTGACGCCCTTGTCCTGCACGTACTCGTTGAACGCCTTCCAGCTCTCCTCCGACATCAGGATCTCGTTGCGCTGCTCGGGGAAGATGTTGGTCGGTCGGGTCCGTGGCGCCATGCCCTGCGGGTACATCTCGAACGTGAAATGTTTCTGGCTGCGGTGCAGCTGGAGTCCGTCTGAGTCGAACTCCCCCGCGACGAATGGCAGGCGGGACTTGGGAGTTAGAAGTCTTCGCCGACCGTCATCGTGGTCCTTGTCGGGGGTTGCTTCCCTGGGTGGCCGCCGGTCCTCCTTTTCTTTTCCCCATGTGTGCGGGGGAAAGTGGAAGTCTGCGGATACAGGGCTAGCGTTCTCCGGCGAATACCCATACAAGCTGTGAGCTCGATCTCGGTCCTGCTCCGGATTTTCGGTTTGCTGCTGTTCTCCATCGGTCTCATAAGGCACAGCTTCACCGGGTAGCTCCCCCTCCTCGTCCCCCTCCTCCCCCCATGTGTGCTCGGTGTCCTGAAGATGGGGGAAATGGAAGTTCGCGGAAAGAGGACTAGTCGACTGCGGCGAGTACCCATACAAGTCATGAGCATGATCTCGATCCTGCTCCGATTGCCCGATCTGCTGCCGTTCTTCATCGGTCAGCCCGGGCCTGGACACCCGCAGGTACCACTTGATGGTCTCACCCTCCGGCGCGTCCAGGATCCCCTCCCGACACGCCTGGAAGCACTGCTGCGCCTCCTGGTAGTTCTCGCGAAAGTACTCCACCCTACCCTGCCAGTACTGGCACCGCGCCAGGCACACCGGGTTGCCGAGCCGGTTGGCGATGCCAAAGGCCTCGAGGACAAAGTGCTCGGCCTCGCGGTCCTGGCCCTCCTCGAGGAAGGTGATCGCCCGGTGCAGGGCCAGGGTGACCTCCCACCGATCCAGCTTCTCGTCGAGCTCGGCCAGCAGCGGCTCGATCGGGGATTGCGCGCGTCTCCGTCGGTGTTCCTCCAGCGCTGCTCGCGCCTCGGCTTTCTTCCTGCGACGCGCCGCCTTTCGCGCCGCCGCCTTCTCCCGAGCCTCTACCAGCGTCGGCGACGGGGTCGACTGGCGGTCCAGGAACTCCGTCCCCACGTACCAGTAGTTCTCGTCCGGGTCGTACTCCTTCCAGGAGGTGTCGCCCTCGTCCAGCGGCGGCAGCGGCTCCGGGTTGTATTCCGAGGCGAGGTCGGAGTCGTTGCCGGCGTCCTCGTCTGAGAAGTCCTTGAATTGATACTCGTCGGAGTCATCGTTCCGCGTGCGGTCCACTTCGTCCTCGGAGGAGGATTCGCCGAAGAAGTGGCGCTTGATGGGTGGTAATGGGTTCATTTTTTTTCCGTTGTTGAGTATATGTATGGCCAAAGGTGCTGGGGTTTGTTTGGTTATGAAGTTGTTGGAGATGCTAAGGGGGCTTATATATTCATATGTGCGGGTGTGCCCTTGGGCTTGATGGTGAAAGGGCTCTTTCATGGAGCTCGCTGGAGGACAAAGCGCCGTGGGACAAAGCAATTGTGTCTCTTTCTGGTGAGGCGTGCCCCCAAGCCATTTTGCGGTTTCCCGAGACATCAAGGCAAAGTGTCTCCATCGTAACAGTTTACTCGGGACTCCAGAGAGATTTGATGGAGCGAGCTAAAATGACCTGGGTCATGATAATCATCCTGGCAGCTGCAGCGCAGCAAGGATCTGGGTAGCCCTAATCTTATCACATCTGTTCAGCTTTCCTGGTCCTGTCATCATTCGGTACGGTAGATCTGTGGTGATCATCTGACAGTGCAACCACAGGCAGGCACCGAGTTGCTGGACTTGGCGCATCTGGCGGACCATTTTTCTGCTTTTTGTTTCTGAAAGCTTCGAGCAACACGAATTGGATTATGAATCAAGAAAACCTTGCTGTGAGTCAGGATGGATCACAGCCTTGGTAAGCAGAGACATGGATCTGAGTTAGTGCAACAAAAGCAACAATGAAATAAGCGCCGAATGATCTCAGATACTCATAGAGCAGTACGGAGTATGTCCGTGAGCTGAAGACAAAACATCCAAACGCAGCAAACAGGTGGAGATCTCCACCCCAGAGTGGGGCCGATACGACCCTGGCAGGCAGCCTGGCTAACAAACAGTGCAACAGTGCAACAGTGCAAACACCACAAAGCACAAAGCAATGCAAACAACAACGTCATGACCCTCTCATGCACTCCTCGATCCATCCACTCAATCCATCTCTTTCCCTCCCTCCCTCTCTTCTCTCTCTCACTCTCTCGTTCTCGCCCAACTTTATTGTCAGATTGTCAGACTCGTTGGAAATCGCACCCGTATGCCTGCGTCACTTCCGCTTTTCCCACAGCTCCATTGGATCGTTCCACCACTCAGCGGGGGAGTTCGGGGGACAAAAACAAAATCATGATGAATGGACCGACCTCCAAGGAATCCCCTTCCTTGCGTGGTGGGGTATCGTTCGTTCCATGTAAAAATAACCCCATCAACTTCCCCTCCTTTCAGCCGTGGTCTGACTGCCCTCGAGCAATAGTTGCGAGTCTCATCATCCATGGCTGACCGATAAGATCCATGCCCCGGTGGGCTGTTTGCATTCCGACTCCTCGGTTTCCACAAATGTTCAGGGACATGCTACTCATACAGGGCACCGTCCCCCCCTCTCTTTCCCCCCACCAGCAGAAGGCCACTACTTATGCAGCTGGTCTTGCCTTTCCTGTTTATTTACACCTCGCTCAGATCTTCTCGGTGCTGCAAGGGCCGACTGACTTGACTGACTGACTTGCATCTCACCCCTCTTCCTCTTCATCCTCCTCATTTTACCCCTCTTTCCTCCATACATACTCCCCTTTGCACCCGACGTGCATACGCATTTATACAACAACATTCTTAGGCGCACACACACTACATTGCCTTCTCTTTGTTTCTCTCTCCCTACCTCTTTCTCTCTCTCTTATCTTTCTCTCGCAGACCTAATATAAAGTGCGCCTTTTGGCTAGTCCCAAAATTTTGGTGTTTGAAATTGGGATATACGTATTATCCTCCTGGACTTTCCTTGTTCCCCCTTCCAAAGGACCTCGGTATATTATAAAATAGACTTCAAGCCACACGGACCTGCAACCATGTCTCCGTTAACTTGTCCCACCAAGAGTGTCGACATTGTGGCCATCCACCAAAATGCACTGGAGTTCTCCCTGGTGAACGAGATCCAGCGAGGAATCTCTCCTCCGGCTGGCACCACTCGCTCAATGCCCACCATGCTGCTGTATAATGACCAGGGACTGAAGCTCTTCGAGGAGATAACTTATCTCGAGGAGTACTATTTAACCAATGCGGAGATTGAGGTGCTGCGCACGCACGCCCAGCGGATCGTGGAGCGCATTCCGGACAATGCGCAGTTACTAGAGCTAGGGAGCGGGTACGTGCTGCTTTCCATTTTTTTTTCTGGAATCCGGACAACGGAAATTAAAATGAAATTGAACTGTATAGAAACCTCCGCAAAGTTGAGATTCTGCTCCGCGAGTTTGAGTCGGCCGGCAAGCACGTCGATTACTACGCCCTCGATCTGTCCCTGCCCGAGCTTCAACGCACCTTTTCCGAGATTTCGATCGACGACTTCACGCACGTCGAGTTCCACGGCCTGCATGGCACCTACGACGACGCTATGGCTTGGCTGGATAGGCCCGAGAACCGGAAGCTGCCGACGGTGATCATGTCCATGGGGTCGTCGATTGGCAACTTTGACCGGCCGTCCGCGGCGAGCTTCCTGGGGCAATTCGCTCGCCTCCTGGGCCCTGACGATCTGATGATTATTGGCCTGGACGCTTGTAGTGATCCGGACAAGGTGTTCCGGGCTTATAATGACTCCAAGGGTATTACGCGGCAATTCTACGAGAATGGACTGGTTCATGCCAATGCCGTGCTGGGGTATGAGGCGTTCAAGCTGGAGGACTGGGACGTTATTACGGACTACAATGTTGCTGAAGGGACACATCGGGCGTTCTACGCGCCGAAGCATGACGTGACCATCAATGGAACGGTGATCAAGCAGGGCGAAAAGCTGATTTTTGAAGAGGCATACAAGTATAGTGCTACGCAGCGGGAGCAGTTGTGGCATGATGCTGGGTTGATCCATAAGGTGGAGTATGGGAATGAGGCCGGGGAGTATCGTACGTCCTTAACTCACCAACTTCCTGTTCATTCCATGCGCGTGGCGCTCTGGAGTCGGCCTGATATGTTGTCTGAAGCTAACTCGCGTGTCCTACAGATCTTCATATCCTGTCCTCAGCAGTCTTGAATTATCCGACGAAACCTTCACAGTATGCGGCAGGTGCCGTCCCGACATACGAAGAGTTTCGGAAGCTTTGGACGGCGTGGGACATCGTCACTAGATCGATGGTGCCTCGCGAGAAGCTGCTTTCCAAGCCTATCAAACTGCGCAACGCCTTGATTTTCTACTTTGGGCACATTCCTACATTTTTAGGTAAAGTGCTTGGCTACTGGGTAGACTTCGACTTTGCTAAGCCTAGACAGATATCCATCTCACTCGAGCACTGGGCGATGAGCCGACTTATCCCACGTCATACCAGCTGATTTTCGAACGTGGCATTGACCCCGATGTGGACAACCCTGAACA